AACTCATTCAGTAGTTACACAAGCCTGGTTTTAAGCAAAAGCCACCTCTGGCCGTCGCAGAGGATAATCAACGGCGCCTTATCTGCTGCATCGAGCAGGTTGGATAGGGGTATGGATGCTACTGTTCAGGCCTTGCCGTCTTCTTATCCATCTTCTTGCGCCTTTTCATCCTTATCGTCCAGCTCCAACTTCACTTTTATACCCTCATTTTCAATCCCTTAATTCTTGGCCCTCCCCCACCTTGCTTCAATAGTCGTTTGCCTTCTAGTTTCAACTCACACACAGTCGCAGGACGTCACTCCAATCCAGTCGACAAGTCCATGTTCAACCAAGCGAACAACGTCACTTCATCCGTTTCCCTCTGCAGTCATCACGTCTCGCTAAGACTGGCATGCCTCAACGTGCACACTTTGCTACTTTGGCCAACAGTCAACACTTGCCCGCAAACTAGAGACCCTGTCAATCGATATTTGCTGTTTATCAGAAATCCGCTTGCAAGATTCGAGCTCTGTGTCTACTGTGCGATCCCCCACATGCGACACTGGCGGCACATTCTCATTGCGCCTGTCTGGCGATGATGCAGCTTCAAGTGCCGGTCAAGCTGGCGTCGGCATTGTTTTGAGTCCCCGGGCTGAAACTGCCCTGATCGATTGGATCCCAGTCAACAGTCGGATGCGCGCCGTTAGATTAGCTGGTTCCTTCCGTGCTACGAAGTCGCGCGGGGACAAACGGTGTCTGTTTGTCATTGCGGCCTACGCCCCTACAAACTGTAGCACTGATTCGGTAAAAGATGATTTCTATCAGCAACTTCACGAGCTCCTCCGTTACAGAAGAAGCGCGGATACTTCGGTGTTGGCTGGCGATCTAAACGCCAAAGTCCGAAAATTGTCATCTGATGAGCTTCATTTGGGCGGCCAACATGGTGTAGGCTCCCGTAATGATAACAGTGAGCGATTGCTACAGCTGTGTGAAGATGCTCGTCTCTTTCTCGCGAGCACAAACTTTCGGCGCAGCACCCGCAGAAGCGTGACTTGACGGCCACCAGCCTCGGGTCAGCCATGGACGCAAATCGATCATATCGCGATCAGTTACCGCTGGAGAGGCTGTGTCCAAAGCTGTCGCTAGATTTGGAGCACGAGCGTAGACTCTGACCACACACTTGTCTGCGCCGACCTCCGGGTGCGTTTCGCTGGACGTCCGCAACGTCGATGTGAACGGATTGACACCAGCCAGCTGGCGAAGCTTGGTGTTCTGAATGTGTATCAAAGTGCGCTGACATCCGGGTTGAGTAAGTGCCCTCTGAACCCCCTCGAAGATCACTGGTCGCATATTCGTCAAACGATACTATCAGCAGGCATCTCTTCATGTGGCAAATCAAATTACCAAACTTTACATTGGGTCTCTGCACAGTCTGTGGAACTTATGGATGCTCGCTGACGTATTCCGGCTGGAAGCGAATACAATGAGACCTGCAAAAATCGAAGGGCAAAGCTGCGTGCTAGCCTGACGAGAGACCGCGAAGAGTGGTGGTCTCATCATGCATCGGAAATGGAAACAGCCGCCGCTGTTGGTAATCATCGTAAGTTATTCCGCCTGATACGAGAAACAGGCAGCAGGAGACCTGGTGTTAGCAAGACAGTACGCGACGAGAGTGGACAGCCGATCCACAGCCTGCCAAATCACTTGGAGCGTTGGGCCAAACACTTTGCAGGTCAGTTTAACTACTCTGAGTTATCACTTTCTTTTTCGGGCGTTCAGTGCTCTTCTTCATGGGCCGTCTCCTTAGATCCGCCCTCACACGCAGAAGTCGAACGAGAGATCAGGCTTTTGAAATTGCATAAGCCCGCAGGGGCATACAGAATAACACCAGCCCTCTTCATATTCGGGGGACCTGCTCTTGTAAATGATTTACGTGAGTTGCTGGTGGAACTTCGGGAACAGGAAACTGTCCCGACAGACTGGAGCCGCTCCATCATTGTCCCGATTTTCAAGGGAGGCTCCCGTTCGCAATGCGGCAGTCATCGATGGTTCACTTTGGTATTAATTGCCTCTAAATTGCTTGCGTCTGTCATTCTCCACGAACTGAGTGGCACTCGTGAAAGCCAGATTCGTGAAGAGGAAGCCGGGTTTCGTCGAGGTCGGGGCTGCATCGACCATATCTTCATTTTTGCTTCAATTGTTCGATCACTGGCATGTTTATTGGCGATCCACCGTTGTCGTGTTTGTTGACATAAAATGTGCCTTCGACTCAGTCGGTTGACGTGCCCTTTGGGACTGTCTGCTGAGGGAAGGTGTGCCGGATAAATATGTAAATATTACCAAAGCGCTGTACGCGCATAGTTCGGGCAGAGTGAGGGTTTATGACAAACTGTCGCCGCACTTCAATATCTCCAGCGGTGTGACACAAGGTTGCCCGCTGTCATCTTTCCTCTTTAACTTCGCTATTGATGAAGTCATGGAAACTGCGTTCACTGGACACGACCTAGAATGTGTGGAGCTACTTCCTGGTGAGCGACTGCTTGACTTGGAGTACGCGAGCGATATGGCCCTAATATGTGACAGTTCCCAAACATGCCAAGTAGCACTGGACCGATTAGCACTGGCTGTCTATTATTTTGGGCTATGCTTTGCTCCATCGAAATGCGAAGCACTTCCCCAGTATTGGCAGGGACCCACCCCCGTGCTAACGCTTTGCATTGATCTGCTAGAAGCGTTTTAGGCATTCAAGTACCTTGGCAGTTATATTAGCGCCTGAGGGATCGAAGAGGTGCTTTTGCCCATGTCCGCTACCTGTGCCGTAGACGCGACATTACTCTCGCCCTGAATGGCACAGTTTATAACGCAGCCACCCGTTTAGCTCTCCTATATGGTTGTGAAACCTGGCCCATCCGGTTGACAGACATAAAGAGGCTCGTCACATTCGATCATCGCTATCTTCGTAGCTTAGCTCATGCCTGGTGGGAGCACCGCGTGAGCAATGAGCATGTTCGGTGTCGCGTATTTTGTGCAGGAGGAGCGCGTGAACCGCTCAGCACCATTATATCACGCACCAGGCTCCGATGGCTGGGCCACATGTTGCGCATGACAGCACACCAACTTCCGCGACTTGCATTGTTTGCGCGTTGTGGGTGCAGTTGGAAGAGGAGGAGGGGAGGCCAAGCGATGACTTGGTCGAGAGAGATGAAAACCCTCAATTCGAAGTTGGGGTCGGTTGGCGCATCCCGACTGCCTAACTGGGATCCTAGGGACGATGAACACGTTTGGTTGGACACACTTGCTGATATGGCTGAGAGCCGGCTCCATTGGCGTTTGTGTTGTGTTCCTTTGTTCATCCCCCTCCTGCCTAGCCTCCCCCTCCAATCACGATCGCATTCGTTAGACATAACATAACTTTGCGGCACGATAGCCGGCTGTTAGCTCTCCGGAACGATGTTCATCCGTTACTGGAGACTCAGCGGGCGTGCCTCTCTTGTTCTTTTTTCTTGTCTTTTGTATTGCGGTGCCATAGCTGAGGTGTTTTCCACCTGCAGCTGACGTGTATAATGATGATGATGATGGAGTGCCCTGTCCCTCAATTTCATGCAATCAATTCTACTGAAATTTATCACGAGTCGGGAATTCACCGCAAACTTCGGTGTGCTCTAGGGGAAAATAAAGACACAATGTTCACTCTTACCACTAGGAGCTTCCACATGCGACTCTTTCAAACAACTACTTTGGTGTTCACAACATGTACTGTTCCAATGCATCCAATCTATCAGTTCCTGCTCCAGGGTGTCCGCAGTGCTTTTGGTACCCTGCCAGTCATCATGCAGAAGACTGAGATCACCAGCGTTTAGGAAATTGGACGCAACAACCACCGTGCGCCTCAGTAATGCACGTAGCTCTTGATCATGATCTTGTAGTTTTCTGATCACCGCGCGATTTCCACTGCCGTCTGTGGTGCAAATAAAGCCGTACTGATCCGCTTAAACTAGACGTTATTTTTAGTGCCCGTTTTGTTCCCTTGGGTAAGTTGCTGGGTCATGAATGCGCAATGAACCAGACGGTTTAACCTTTACTATCTTGTCTATCCACCAAACATATTACATTTGGCAACGCGGGAAGTCGCCTCAAAGTGTGCACATGTAGTTCAGCACAATTTGGGCCACGGAAACCACTCATTTATCACCCGCGTGATGATGTTTATGATTGGTATTGGGTGAGGTCGATGTTTTATTCCGAAATGCCGAAAGAAATACCCGACGCTTGTTTCCTTAACCGACCGGTCACGGAAGCGGTACGCGTGCTCCGTACAGTGGACGTTCTAATCGAACATCTTTTCAATTGTATCCATGCCACACTTTATAAATTGTTTCTACAGAGTAATCCCACCGGCTTTCTTTCCCTGCGAAGTCTTGGACCGCGAATGTTGAATCGAGTTCTCACACGCGCAACCGCATTTGATTTGTCCACCGAATGTCATGATCTTTAAATGGGGGTCACGCCGCCACTTCCGAAAACTTTACCCCTTTCGGTTGACTACAATCCACCACCAGGATACTGCCTCGTCACCTACCCGAGCTGGAGGAAATATTTTGCAAAACTTGGCTCTTAGTTACAATAGATGTTGCGTTATGCACTACCGTTTCTGACCGCAGTTATTAGTCAACTCCGGTGCTATCCGTCGCCACAGGTTCCTCCGCACAGATACAGTCGACTCCGTCCTATGTTTCCGGAACCCACTCATTTATTTGTTTCGTGCTCTGCTATCGGCGAAACTTACGTCTACGCGGCATATTTGGCGACAAAGTCGTTTTCCCATCCTTACCATCCACTGAGTCCAACATTTCTCGTAGACCCTCGCATGATAGTTCGTTTACTCTGCCCATTAAGCTTCAATCACTATTGTATTGCTTGGTAACATTTGGCGCAGATCTTGCTGATTTTTCTCTTGATACCTTTACTCCAACTACGAATGTGCTTCCCCAGATATCACACGTTTTAATCCTTTGTTTTTAGAAACAGCTGATCCGTTCAGTGACTCTTCTTGCAGGACGTTGCATGGCGTGCTCCACCTTCCCATTCTGCACCCGACCCCTCTTTGTGAGTAGATCAGAAATGCGCAAGTACACCGTGGACTTTAGCTGCACTTACGTTTTTCTCCGCACAGACACAGCAGGTCACCCTCTTCAGTCCGACTACACAGACACCTTCAGAGTTCTCCAACGAACTACTAATCACTTATTCTTAGACCAGAATGTTCACCGAACAACGGTGTCCATTGATCGTCTGAAAGTTACATTTTTGAACATCCGTCTCTAATTTCACCTGGCACAGGCGCACAAGTAAATTCACTTAAACTCTGCGTTCCGCACCAGTCACCCTAGACCCCTCTAATATTCTTGACCCTCAGCCAACCCGGCCCCAACCCAAGGCAACAGAACGACCCGGTAGACAAGGTCAAACGTCCAATTCGCTTTTCCGATTTTGTTAACATTTGCTACGTTCATCGACGTGCATATTTTCCATCTTTATGGTAGTCATGTGTGTTAATCACGTACGTTTTGCAAAATGACAAGTAAACCCGAAACTAAAACGTGTACGCATTTTCCTTTTGTATACTTGCCTCGTTTTACCTAAGACGTCAAGCTTCTAGTCCCGACCACGTCCAATCCTACCAGTTATACCCTTCATAGCTCAAGTCGCCCTAAGAGCCGCGGAATCTTCTGACTTGCCTACTCGAAACCTCAAGCCCCATTACCCTGACTTCAACCGATCGTCACTCCCCACTCTACCGGTGCAGACAATGGCTAGCCTAACCCGCGAGCTCTGCGAAACGGTTTCCAAAAGACGACATCCGGGATACTTCGTGAGACGAGGATCGTCTTCACCGTGGACTGGAGTGTGATGAGAGGAGTGACGTCTCCCAAGCGCACCGTTGGGCCTGCAGTAAAGGAAATTTCCTATCGGCCTTTGTCTGGACTAGCCAGTTTTTTGCATTTCGATGCGCCCATTCTGACGACCACCAACGATGCACTCCAGTCCAAATACTAAATAACAAATAAGCCTGTATCCAGCGAAATTTACGCGTCCGCTCTATCCGCCCGCGCCCACTGCAATCGCTACCCCATTCTCTTATCCTCTCTTTGGTTCTCCATCTGGCATGTCTATCGGAGGCTTCTCTTCATTCAGCCTTTTAGGGAGAGACCCCTGTAGTGAACGTGAACTATTTCCGCTTTCAGTATTTTGAGGCTTTTTATGTTCACTATTCGCTCGAGCCCGGGCAGTTGTAAAGCTCGAACAATCGCTTCTGAGTGCACAACTTTGGTTCGTTCAACCGGATTGCTGTAGCTTTAGCGGCTTCCAGTTCTCGTCTGCGCATATACCCCAATCGATTATCCGGGCCTTGTAGATAATTTGGAATGCTTCGGCTGACCAAGGGTTTTGCCCTGTGTCGGCAAAATGGGCAGCTATGGCTGAGTTACATGACCTTCTGCATCCAGTCGTTAATAATAATAATAAAATAACGTGTCAGCTGTACGCCGTAACGGCGCTTCGATGCCGCGCGACCACCACCAGTCGCGCGCGGGCTGAGTATACCGCGAGGACGCCCACTCCTACGCGGATCCAGTCGTTAGCCATGCCAGACGGTGTTTTTCATTCTCTCGGATAAACACCTAGTCGTGCGACCGATATTGTAGGGGCGAGGATCTCAGTTCACACGGAAATGCCCCGGAAGCAGCAGGAGATCGGGACTAACGCGGAGACTGGGAACGGGAATCGTCAACCCAGCTCGTGGCCTACGATGCAAGCCGGGAATGGGTCGTCAGCGACAAACGATACCGCGGCCACGCCGAGAAGAACATGAGGCGACATGAAAGGGAGCCCGATTTTTCCAAGAGATATGCATTTATCTACGGCCCCAGGAATCGGCCCGAACAGAGCAACACAGCCCCAAGCAAGCAAGTAGAGAGCTTTGATACGAATCCAGTCTGGATAGGCTGCGACGCAAGGGAGCAGAAATGTAGGCGGAAAACGGCACGTTCAATGTCTACGTCGGACCAGCCTAATGGCGCTTAGTGGACACCACTTCACTCGGCGGAACGTGGTGCGTCGTAAGTGGGGAACGCGGCTATATTTGTGTGTGTGCGTGGGACATGTGTGTGAACCTCTCAGCGTGCAATAAACAGCGTTCTCCCCTACCGTGTCTTTTTCGCTACAATATCTCTTGCTCCACAGGAAAAGCTAAATGAATAGATTTTATTTTTGTTCATATTTTTCGATGGTTCCTTTGTTTAACTGATGATACATACCGACCACTTGACCTCCTCGTGACTCGCGCCGTACACTACTGTCTGCCTCTGCTTACCTGCTCTCCGTTCTTCGTGGCTTTTGTCACTACACATAGGATCCAGATGATCTAATTGTACTCCCTACTTCCGTACTCGGCACGCCACTTACGCCCCACGTCTTGCGACTAGCATCTGAGTAGCACCCAGCACGCGTAAGACATCTTTTACCGTGAGGTTAACAACTGCTTCCGTTGAAGAGCTCGTGCGCGTTTCATACTCACTACCTGTGTTTTCATTGAGTGTCAAGTCGTCCTACTTTCTCATTCCTATCAATTCCTAACAAGTTAATAGTTGTTCGGTCGGTTAGGCAGCAGCTTCCCATCTCATAAATAAATAAAATTTTGTTGTCGACAACGCGATGCACGCCTTCACAAGCGTGATTGTGATAAGGTAGCAAAGCGTGATCAAAACTGTGCAAAAATACATGCTTACCTTGACAGTGAATGTAGGTATAAGGATGTTTTTATGTATTTAATTGTGTGCGCGTAGCTGCGCAGTTTATGCCTGTAGGTGTGCCGCTGCATACTAGCTAAATTCTTTGTTCTCGACAGTATGAGACACACATGTATAGGCATGGTCCTGGTAAGACAAACAGGGTTTATGGATAATTGTACAAAAAATGTACAGTTACCAGTACAGTGCTGCATCTATGTGTGTATGTGAATGTATGTACGTATGAGTTTACGTATCTGTTTTGTCTGAACGCGTTAATTTGGCGCTTCGTTTGGTGTTGTGTTCAGTCAGGTCGTTGGCATGAGAAAGATTTGAAGGAACACTTCGGCTTGGAGGACTGACGTCTTTGGAATCGGGAAAGTGATCCGGGTAAGCTGTTTGATAGCGTCGGCAGTGTGAGAGTATACGATTGATGTCTGTGGGTTGGGTACGATTATCCGGATGTTCACGAAACAGTGACTTTACTTTGTGAGGAATCATAACCGCCACGTCGCAGTGTTGCTGAACAGATATTTGTGGCATTTTATAGGGAGAAGCTTGTCGGGCGAAAACCCACCACCTTCCTGGAACACTGTTTCCAAACCATTTGCTAGAAAAAGAGCTTAACCCGAACCATCCACCTGGCACCAAGCGGATGATGCTCGGCTAGTCATGGGCATCGTTGAATAAGATTTCGGACGTAAACTGTGTAACAAGATTACGGGATACTTTGTTAAACAATATCAGCTCCGGTCTACTTATGTGTTTCCTTGCACATTTGGAACTTATGGCAATGTCATAGGCGTTCCGTGCGTAAGCAGGGCCCTCCAATTCGGCTGTTGCTGTTATCATCGGAGTGTTATTTACTCCACGCACTACTGACACTTTGTGTTCTCAGGAATTTCTTTACTCTGTTTAAGCAAACCAGTTCCATATCCACAGATGTTGTCAAATAATGTTGGAGATTCGATTTATCTTCAAAACAGTTTTGGAATTTTCATTCGGTGGGAACCGCAAAACATTTTGTGGCCATTGTGTGCTGGATCCAGAGCGCATGTCTCAGATAGATATATTTACAGGTGCAAACTGTTTATATCGTTGGCGGCATCCGGTTTCGGATTTGCCTGTCATTGTGGCCAGCCACAGGACGCCTGCGCCTACAGAGGGACCAGGGATGGCTTGCGCTGCACCACCCACAACTCCATCCACACACCCCATGTCAAGTGTAAACGCGAAGGAATAAGACCGGGAGGCATGCGAATGGGAGCCACGTTTCATCAACGGAGCCGGCACACACTCCTTCACAGGCAAACACAAGCACGCTGTATTTGGGGAATCAAACGCACACAAGGCGGCGGCTGGACCGTAGTCCGCTACACACTGAGTGCATGGAACCACCCTTCTTCAAGAACCGTGCACCCCATCCCGTCCAGCAACGACTAACTGTCTCCTGGAGCCAGTATGGACGAGATAGTGGGTAATAGACAGGTAGGCATCTTGTCAACATACACATCAAGCGCAGCCACCCCGGGGATATCAAGCGACAGCCAAACTCTTGTGTGAAAGATAACAAATAAAACAAATCGAGTAATGCATACGGAAACGGTGACATAAATCTTAAATTAATGAGCATATAAAATAAGTTGTTTACAACCGAATCCGAGATACGTTCATTAGGTCAGAGAGAATATTTTGCGGAAATGCCACAAACATGAAAATGTTATCAAAATTAACTACAATTGGCGTAAGCGATTTGTGCAAGTTTATAGAAGAGAGTACAAGTAGACATTCGTCTGAGAAAGAAAAGCATTAGGACGAAACTGAAAGTCCACCACCTGAAATAAGTAGACTTAGCATGCAAGCACGAGGTTAGTAAATCGAATGCAGCGTACCTGCAAACGCTGTGCCGATACTGCCTACGTTCTCTGCAGGATCCGTCGTAGCTTCGGTAGTGGTCCCGATTGGCCTCGCTCATAGCTCACTAGGCGTGCCTGACTCAAGCACTCGCGACCGCATGTGCTACAGCACCGTGCGCTCGATGTTGATGGTGCTTGCCGCTTCCGCAATTGCCGCTTCTTCTCTGCATGTATGAGGTCTCTCTCCCGTACTTCGGCAACTGCCTTCGTGATTAGGTCGCGCCATGCACGCCGATCAACCGCCTTCGATTCAGATGACCTACAAGCAAGACTAGAACGTGAGAAGCTCACTTTGATTATGCCCTGGTAACCTAACTTTGGTTTACCCACATGCCGCTTCCCAATACTCAGCTGACTACCTAAGAGTTGTTTCGGTATCTGCGTCGAATCCATACGGCTCATATAACCGAGCCACCTCAGGTGTCTCAGCAAAAGTATGCAGCCCACTTCATACATACCACTTTGTCGCAACACTTCCGTGCCAGCAACTCTGTCGCCTCAACCGATGCGTAAAATCCGTCGCAAGACTGCTGATGGAACCGCTCGAGATATCGCACATCCCGCCGGTACATCGTCCACGTTTCACTGCCGTATAGAAAAACTGACAGCACCATGGATTTGTACACCACCAGCTTCGTGCCAATGGTAAGCTGATGGTTGTTCTACACTCGGTACTCAAGCTTCCCGAATGCCGCCGCTGCCTTCGACACGCGGATACGCAGCTCACTGTGTAGCTACTGGTCAGTCGACATCACACACCCCAGGTAGCAGAGGTGGGAGGTGGTTTTCAATACTTCAGCACCAAGTGTGATTCGCGGCAATTTTGAAGATTGCACCTCCGGTGAAGGCTGAAAGAGACAGACAGTTTGCTTGTGTTGATGGTG